GTAGTTAGAAAATGAAGTGCTTAACGTGCAACTCTTAATTAATATCCCACAATATCTATATTTAATTAGTACATGCAAGATACACAACTCAGAGCTTATTCTACAAAGATATATTTATTTTTAGAACTTTACACCTCAATTAGTAAGTGTAACCCATAAGTCTTTGAAGTAGGTTGAAATCACTGCTTACTTAATGTATTTATTTCAGATTCTTATTTCAAAATCCCTCATGTAAGAGAAGCAGTGGCTTAGTCCTTGCAGCATTAAACTATTCTAGTCTTAGGTCCAAACTTCACTTCACTTACTATGGTTGAAGCAACTGGATGACTTCACAAGTCCTTACATAGAATACTCTGTCTTCAAGCCAAGTACACAATCATCTACACTTGGTTATAAAGTTTCCCGTTAATTATTCATCAACTCGTACAACTGATTAGTATCCTTAACTCTTGTTTAATAATCAATCACACGTAAAAGTAGTGTAGATAATCAGTCGATATCTGGGTTTTTTTCAAACCTTCCCGTTTTTCCATAATTTTCCAGCATTTCAAATAAAATCCATCGGATTAGTTTTATTAAGTTCATATTTCTTAAAGCGAAACTGTTCGTTAAGTGTTGAAATGCTTGAATTGTGCTACTTTATGTGCAATTAGGAATAAATGTGACCTCTAAAACAACTGTTTGTCAATATGGGAGTTGAGAAGATTGTGGAATCTTATTGGAATCACCAACCGATCTAGGTCAGGCAACTACTAGAAACCTAGAATCACTGAACAACTGTTTCGTCCTAGCTTGACTTCTCAACAGTGCACTTCTACGACCCCACCACCACCAGGACTTGAACCTAGGGACTTCTATCTGGTGGGTGATTGTTTAACCTCTAGGCTCCTGAGCCAGAATCTAATGGTATACAAGTTTTACTTCAATAATTCCTCTATATTGCGCTACAATCTTCCATTGTCTTCAGTGGTTATATTTTTCACACCCGTTACGGTCGAACTTCACTGGTTGTGGGGATCGTTAAATTTTAATTAGATTCTTGTCTATCCATTTCTTCTTTTCTTTTACTTCATAATATTATGATCCGTTTTTAGCATCCAGTTTTTACTGATCATGTCAAACGTGAAAAAACTTTCTACTTGAATTTAATTTTGTCATTGTTTAGATGTGTATTTTCACATAAAATAAAGCTGAACACCATTTCCATTCTATAATTTCATTCATTAATAGTATGGAATGATGATAGATCGGTTTAATTTTTGTTGTTGTTATTATCTATATTGTAATAAAGCAGTGTAATCATATTATTATATATTTGAAGATCTTAAATACATTATAAACTACTCATTCTTCTATACTATAACATTTTGATCAGATATTTCATTTGCATTACTTAAATCTAATTTAATCTATCAATTTGTGTATTGAGGCACATCTATACTGCATAAAATATCACTGAAATCCACTGAAACTAGACTAACGGTGTTTCATCCCTACAAGTAAATGAAGTCCTCAATTTAAATTACAGCTTTCAATCTTGTCCGATGTACCCTGATTTCAAATGTTGGGTATTAGTACAAGTCCTTTTAAATCTAAATATACACAAGTCTTATTTTGGTTATTGAGTTTCATTGTATTAGCGTTTATACTGAAAGCCTTAGATCATATGTAGGTAAAGCCTAGTGATTTCGACATTCAATGTTCAACTAATTAATGGTTTATTTAAACTATGTCTCATTTACTAAGGCTTTATTATTCAAATAAAATCACTTATAATTTAACAGTATATGTTTTCTATGCCTTGTTAAATGAACTTGTTCATTATCCATTTAGTTGCGTAATAACATTACTTAGGATTATTATTTCTGCACTGTTATTAAATCTTTCAAATAGAAACAATCCATTAGATATCGGATTCTTTAAACATATAATAATATATCGTCTAAGCTTCGAAATTTGACATCAATGTTCTTTAATATATCTTCTATGTATATATTACATTCTTCTCATGGATAAAAGTTCTGTTTACTTAAGGATTATTAGTTATTAATTCACTTACTTCCGTTTGATATGTCTGTCATTAATCTTAATAAGGTTTCGGGAAAAGAAAGTTGGGAATTTTTAATTAAAGAAATAATTCTTTTCATAAATATAAGTAACCGATCTTTAATCTTTCTTCTTAATACACTATCAAAATAATTTAAATATTTTCTTGTAGACTAGATTACTTCACTACAATAATATATCTAGTTAGTATTAAATTTTTTGTTGTTGGATTTTACGGTGTTGAATGTTATGAAGAAAAGATTGGGTATTATTTGTGCAGTATTAGTAATATTGCTTTATTCACCAATAGATTTTTGTTGTACATACAAAAGCACATGTGAGTTTTTTCCTCTGTCTCCCGTTGGCTGTTAATAATAATCGATATAATACATTTATAGCTCTCTACTCTGATTTATACAATGCTATGTATATCGTAAGAAAACGATATCGACCCAAAACTAACCATTTTTTCCAGAAAAAACTATTCTTATTTTCTCAATGTATTTGTGTTCAAGTAGTTTTGTTTAGTTCACTCCAGTTTAGGTAAATGCATAACTTCACAAGTACTTACATAAAATAATCCGTCTTCAAATACACAATCTTTTGCACATATTTATAAAGTTCCACATCCAATATTCATCAACTCATATTTCTATTGTTGCAATTTAATAGAGTATGGTCAGTCCTCGTAAAATAATCAATTCCACAGGAACAACTAGGAAAACAGTTAGGCAGCCATGTATGTGATGCCCACCCCGAGGCAGCATGGAATGATATCAGTAAAGCTGTGGAAACAGCAGTGATATCTGCTAGTACGGTAACCCGTAAGGTTAGGGAGCGACACTGGATCTCAGCAGCATCTATCGCACTGATAGATGCTCGGAAACTCATTCCACCTCGCTCTGAACATAATGAAGATCGGAGTCAGCTTAAGCGCAAGCTGACAAAAAGTCTACGCAATGATCGCGAACAGTGGTGGGTAGCCAAGGCAAGAGAGACGAAAAAGGCAGCGGCAATAAGTAACAGCAGACAATTGTTCAGGCTCGTTAAGGAAACCGGTATTAGGAAACCGACTATTAGCGAAACACTCTCAGAGAAAGATGGACATATTATACACTCTCAATCCAGGAGATTGGATCAATGGGCAGAACACTTTAGGGATCAGTTCAACTGGCTTTCAGCCACACTTCGATTTCCCACGATCTCTAGTCAACCTGAATGGCAAGTTAATGTAGGTCCTCCATCTCTTTACGAAGTTGAAAAAGCCATAGGAAATCTGAAACGAGGGAGAGCAGCAGGCCCTGACAGGTTTACTCCTGAGATTTTTAACGATGGGGGTTCAGTATTAGCAGTGAGAATAACTGAGGCCTTAAGTAGAATTTGGGAACTGGACGTAATTCCATCTGACTGGTCTCAATCACTGATTGTGCCAGTCTTTAAGAAAGGACAAAAGTCCTCTTGTGACAATCACAGAGGAATCAGTTTGACTAATATAGTGTCTAGAATATTAGCTTCAATAATACTTCGACTCTAAGCAACAATACAAGCAGGTTCGGGATGCGATTCTCTCCCTCGAAATGCAAAATGTTGCTTCAGGATTGGGTTGCATTGACACCCGAACTAATGATAGAGAGTGAAGTAATTGAGCGTGTCGATCCCTTCAGTTATCTTGGAAGTCTCATCAGCCCTTGTGGTCTGGTGTGTGACGAAATCTCAGCACGGATACAGAAGGCTCGACTAGCTTTTGCCAACTTGCATCATTTATGGCGTAGGCGAGATATCCGTCTATCAACCAAAAGACGTGTTTACTGCGCAGCAGTTCGTTCCGTCCTACTATATGGCAGTGAAACATGGCCGGTAAGAGTAGAGGATATTCGTAAGTTACTAATATTCTATCATAGGTGTCTTCGAAACATTGCTCGTACATCCTGGGACCATCGAGTAAGTAACACAGTTGTTAGGAAACGGGTACTAGGTAAGGATGGCAGACCAATTGATGAAGTAGTAAAACTTCATCAGTTGAGATGGCTGGGACACGTGTTACGTATGCCCAACGACCGACTGCCTCGACGTGCTATGTTCAGTGGTGTAGGAGTACGTTGGATGAAAGCTAGGGGTGGCCAAACCAAAACATGGCACAAGTCCATGAAGTCACTGACAAGTGGACTGAGTGATGTTGGTAGGTGTAGACTACCTGGTTGGGGACCGCGAGATGATAGCAACCGATTGTTAGAGACCCTGAATGACATGGCTCAAAATCGTTTGCAATGGCACAGGTGCATCCACTCTTTGTGTTCTCCCAAATTTTGATCTCCTGATTCCTGCTTGTCCCTTTTTTCCTCTTTCCAAATTTATTTCACTGTATTATACTCTTTAAGTAACATCTTCAAATACTAATCTTCCCGATTACTGCTTATACTCATATTACCTGTACCACTACGGTATTTGAATTGACCACTGCATCTCTGTGCTTATGTGGTGTGGCAACTCGAACTGATGTACGTACGTACGAAGTTCTACGTTGTTACTGACTGACTGTCCACAGATAAAATTACTGTTGATAATCAGTTGATACACTTGGTCGTTCTATCTTTATTTGTATTGCTTTTATGAATAATTGGTTTCAGAACATCCATGGCTTTTCTGTATTTAAACCGTACAGTAACATTTAAAGGTGTATTGTAAGGAAATAATGCTAATCTAGCACATTGTTTTGCATTTTCCACGTTCTCTTGGTGTATCGTGTGTGTGTGTGTGTGTGTTACTTTTACATTACAAAATACACGGTGAAATTATCAATTACACATGTAGTCTTTTTATTTTGTTATCTATGCTTTTTCATTAGATATAACACGCAAATTGCATTCCATGTACATTCTTGTTTTTTTGCTCTCTCTTCTATTTCCATTTTTCTTTTGTTTGTTTTTTCAACAAAAACAAATCAATCATTTTAGGATCTAGTCGTGGTTCATCACTTACAATGGCTAGTTCAACAACAAATGATTCATTGCCTAGTTCAAATGGTAGTCCAGCGTTGACAAGTTATAACGCGAATCAAAATAATACACAAAGATCATTTTCATCAAATCCGAATCCAATGACCAGCAATGAACAACAAATATTAGAGGTTAGTTAAAGATCTTCCACTAATATTGTTGCGTTCTTGTTTAACATTTAAGTAGGTGGATGACATTTCAAACTTGAAAATAATACATTTTGAACCGACTCAAAAGTTGATTATTCAAATATAGTACAATATTTAATTTATTTGTTTGTATAGCCCTTTTTATCATCGTAACACAATAATCATAAATTTATAACCTTAAAGCCCCCTGGTGATGAATTTATTAAAAACAATTATCCACTCATATATTCCTTATTTCTAAATATTCTACAAAGAATATTAAATTCTGTAAATTGATTCATTTGATAAACTACAAATCTATTGATGAATAAATAAAGATTTGAGAAGCACTTCATATTATTTTTCTAAATTTATTGAGCACTGAGTAGTGACCAATGTCATATATGTCCAATCCTTCGTAGTTCTAGTCGAATTCTATCGATCAAGTGGCATTGTGGCTTAACTTTCATTTCAGTCATACATGGGGTTTATTGCGGCTCGAATAGCACAATGGTAACGTCTCTGACTGTGAAACTGTGTGATACGGGATTGAATCCGGCAGGTAGCATCATTTCCCTCAAGATTACAGCTATACCTTCCTGACTAGTATCAAATAGCACGAAGCCCAGGTCAAGTAGGGTATCCTGTCAACTACCTCCATCCACCACCATTTTGTTTTTTCATATTTGGAAATTTCGCAAATATAAAACACTCAAACTCTGTTACTTCTGTATATTTAATCGTTTTTACAGCTTTCAATAACTTTTACAACATAAGGACTGATTTACGATTAGATCATTTGCAATGTTTTTGATTTTTATTAGTTTGTAAAATATTATAACCGTTGTTTATGTTATGAAATATCTGAATGATTTAGAAATCCAGCCTTCTACCTAGAAGTTATCTCTTTCTGTATGAAAAACTGCTAATGGTTTGTGATCTTCAATTCTTAGTTAATTTTCAAATTATTTAGATCTAAGTATTGTGTGCGTTGTCATTTTCCTAGCCGAAGCTTCCAGTTGAATTGCCGCATCACATGTTGACTTCTTAATTTTAACTTATCTCAAAAAATAAGAGAGAAACTTTATTTGTATTTGTCCACCCAGATAAATATCTGCAAACTTGAATGAATTGATGCTTACTAATGAGAAATGCTACTATTCAACGATTGTTCTCATTTTATAAGCAGATCTTGTGTATTACATAAGTACAACTTAATTTAACAAGTTTTCGTCCAGATTTTAATTACAAGTGCTGAATAATCTGTCCCTTTACTAACAATAATTTAACTTTCTTAAGTCGTATCACATAGTTTTTTTCAGGTATTAACGGATTTAATGGGACAATGAAAATCGGGTTAATTAAACATAACACTTATAAACATATATTTTTTCAGTGCTTGTAATCTGTAAGCTCAAAACGGTAGTTTTCAGTTCAAACGCCCTGTTATATAGTGATGTTGAAATAATATCTGTTTTCTGTGGGTAACCATCCTGCTTTTGATGTTCACTAGAAGTACAATATGTAGCATTTCTGTGCATTTTTCTGCTCATTAGTTTGTCAGTATCATCTTCACTCGGGACTTCACTTTAATCATTTAAATCCATTTATATATATCTATGAACACACCACAGTAGCGCATCCCTACTGGCCAGATGAAAAAAAGCAAAGAAAGTGAGAGTTAGTGCTCGAAATGAAGTCCTCAGTAAAAATTATGCTCGTATATCCAACATTCACTTACTAAGTGAATGGGAAAGTGCTAGATACTCCACTCATATTGAACACTAAAAAGTAGGTGCTCTACAAGCTCACGGACATATATCCTATCCTTATCTCTTTTATTATATTGACTTAAACTGACTTACAAATAGTGATACTACTTATTAGTGACTTCCATATCGTTGAAATTCGTGATTGACTCGGCTAAACTTCTATTCATTTCTTTCCAAAGCATTTTAAGGACCATGAAATTATGTTCACATATGAAAGAAAAGATATGATTACCTATAAATTTTGCTTAAATCCTTTTACCTCATCAATCTCGTCATTAAATCAAACTTAAGATATCGAACTGACTTTCTATGTAGTTATCATCAAATAACATTTATGTATACTATCCATTTTCTGTAAGTTAACTGGAGAGTTATATTTGATTCCCCTCCAATCAATTTTGTCATTTTTTTACGTTATTGTATCTATTCCTAGAACAAACTACACTATGCAACTCCTGTAATCAAAAACCAGTCTCAATGCTCTACTACTCCAGGTCAAGTGTTCAATCTGTTAAGACAGTCCACGTTGGCTAGTAATCAAGTTTGCATAAATAATCATCAAACTAACACCGATCTACAAACCATCCCTGGGACAACGGGTGTTCCAAACGGAAATGCTCCAACTCCTCCCCCTCCACCACCACCGCCTCCACCTCCTCCTCTACCTATGTTTTTACCAGTATCGCCAAATAATCTGTCAACACCTCATCCATCACTAGAAGAAACAACTTGTCCAAAATATTCCGGTAAGAATTTGATAGTTCTCGATGATCTGTATGTGTGTAAATTCTTCTTTGGTTTAACTATTTAATCATATAGGCTGAACTATATATAATAATTTTTAAAATCGAACCCAGTGTGTATATTTCGGTCCAAAGAACGTTGTATTAGGGATAAAAGTATTCAATTATTTTAATCTGATAAGGTAACTCTCTCTGAATGTTAGGGTTAATGCTACTTTTACCCAGCTTTTCAAAATGTAAATATATAGGCTAGAATTTGAACTTGCCATATATTGATTGATTTAAACAATAACCCATCATTTTGTTTTCAATCATTTGTCACAGTTAAAAAGAATTGAATGAGGTCAAAAAATAAAACTTAGAAGTGCCAATAAACACAAGATTTATCCGAACAAACAGAATGAATACAAATGCAACAATGTAATTTATTTTAGATCATTTCTTTGACTTGCTGCAACCATTATACTGGTTTTGACTAGTAGGTTTGTATCTACCGTAGCGTAGTTAAATAGCTTATTTTCTTCGACTAAGGCAAATAAGCTATTTGGCTACGCCTTGACTCTATAATCGACATTTTAAGAGACTCCTTTAATAGAACGATAAATTCAACAAAATTTCGGACAATAATCTTGTTCTTACTGAACATCGAATACATTCAGTACTGAAATAATTTATAAGAAGTGCTATATTGTTACGAGATTCCAGAATCGTTAACCGATCGTTCGGAAGATTAGAACGAAAATCAATTTAAAAAGAATTCTTCAGTAGAGCTACAGTCTGCTAAGTCGCACGTAACATAGAGAATGAAAAAGAACTAGAGAAATCACATTGTTAGGAAAGAGAAAGTTTTGATAACTGTATTTACCAAAGTGAGATATTTTAAGGTTCGATGGCACACTCGTAACTTACTGTAATTTCATAAGAAATTTCGAAGCTTAATTGCCTAGTCCAGAATTTCGACGGTAACGTAAAGACTGCTACTCTCCAATATACCTTTCGTTATCGTAAAGCACTGGAGATTTCGGAGAAATGTTTTGGAAAATAGCATGTTGTCAGATGGTATCTTGGTTTCACTTAAAGAATGTGAGCTTAACAGTAGTAGAAGACGCCAATCTCAAACTGTTAATTGGGTGTAACGCATCAGTCACATACAATCCGAAATAGACGATGTTTGTTTTGAAATATTGTATTGCAGAAGTATAATAATTTTGTACCGATTATACAACCTGAACTTAAGCAATATGTTAATCTCACTATTAACCATCTATCCATGTAGTCAAGCTTGTCAAACACTTTTTTAAAAAAAATTGATAATTGTCTGCCTTTGTCGTGTGATTTTATTTATTTTTAGTATATTCACGCATAATTCACTTTGCAAACCTGTACAACGGATGGTCATTCATCATCTATGTCTACGTCACTTTTAACTACTTTCTACTATCAACTAGTTTGTTTTATGAAGAATGTAGATTCAGCAAAAACATTTTTCTTTTCCGTTCAGACATTTAAATGTAATGCATCAATGACCACTTCTTTTTTCTAGGTTAGAAAAAATAAGGAGAATTATAGACCATTCATAATTACATACTTTTCATACAAACTTAAGCTCTTTTTGCAATATAAGTGTATTTTTCAATATACTTTCTTTTGATTAACTAAGTATAAATTGGGAAATATTCACAAAAGTTTTTTATTTATTAAGACGAAAATGAATAATACATAACTATTGACTAGTCACTGAATTAGGGATGGATCATGGTCATGGCCAATAGTCTGCATTGCGTTTATCACGCATGTCGTAATCAGGTTAGAGTTCATTCCCCTATCAACTGTTGATGGCACCATACTTTCACTATTTCTTCATAAATAGTAGCTTAACAATATTTTCTTGTGACGATTCAATATTGTCGCCTATTTTTAAAATAAAAGATGACTTTATCTGGTTCCTGTAATCATAACTTGTTCCTGATTTCACTCATTTGAGCAATGTAACTTGAAGTTAGTTAAATCCAAATTATAACTGTCACACTATATTATGGGTAAAATAAAGTTGAGAAAAGATTGATGCATAGGTCATCTGTAAATCAGTTGATTTGAAATAAGATTTGTAATGATTTGTTTAAAATGACTGTTTGGATGTTGTAATAATTTTGACTTTTCAAGGTAGTTATGAATTAATGCTAATAATCTAGATATTCCTAGAACTATTCACGAGGTTTCAGTGTGTGTGATATTTTTTTCTATAAATTAACTATCAATCAATTGCTACATTCATTAAAACTACATTTCTTTCTCATTCTCAATTTCTGTTCATTTTTTTTTTAAAGATTACAATGAAACTTTGGCAACTGATTTGGTCTCTGTAGAAACTGCTAATCTTATGTCTGAATTATCTTCACAATTGCAACAACTTGCTGCACGATCGAATGATGTAAACTTTTCACAATCAACGTTTAAAACAAGAGATATATTTCACAAGGAATCCATAAAACACGATGATTTCGATTTACCTCCACCACCGCCACCTTCTATGTTTACAGAACAATACTGCAGTGATGTAGTGAAATTAGAATGTTCTCCGATTCAGACTACGAATATTAGTTGTACTTCCACTACTAGCATTATTGCTAATGATAATAATAATCATACTGATGAAGTAATTGATGATGATTCCAACAAAAATTTATCACCATTTTTATTGGCGTTAAAACAAAGTGTGAAACAACGAGCTGACCGTATAGCTGCTGAAAACTCAACAAATAATTGAACATGAAATGACGTTAAACTCTTTGATGATGACCATCCTAATGCACTAACATTTTTTTGTTATACATATTAGGAATTAATCTTTCAAAGGTAGTGGCGACATTCACATGTAGGAATCTATGTATAAAAGTGATGGTGTTGAACTACACACATTCTCACTTGCTTTCTAATAAAATATGTCGATAACATTCGATATTCATCCTTTCCTCATTGCTTTCATCATTATTATTATTCCCATCATAATCATCAGTACATGTATTTATTTTTATTGACACATTGAAGTAATATGCCGCCACGGTAAGAAGCAAACGTCTCATATGCCTACTACTTTTTTCTTATCATTGTTGTTGTTAGTGTTAGTTTTGATCTTTAACACCCTCCACCGTTTTCATTTTTGCCTAACTCGTCTTTTCTACTATTTGTGTAAATATAAATGTTAAGTTATTATTTTGTATGACATTATCACATTACTAACTCGGATAAGTAATGTTTTTTGGACATTTCACATACACCTGGTAGCTATACCCAGTATTATAAACTGATATCAGGCCAGTACTTGTATCTCTGTCCGTTACTAGTTACGTAACGTCGCTTCTGTGTGTTTGTCTTTACGAACTCTTTCCTCTTACCAGTGATATAAAGGAAGTGTTTTTCAGAAAAGTAAACCGGTCATTATCAAATACTTCTTACCGATTAACTATTTGACTAACTGTCTCGTTTAACAATTAATCTAACAATCTATTCAATTTAAAATCTCGTCAGACAGATTTCTGGACACAAATAGGCACATTCACACATACACACATTCATGTACATTTTGAAATTCATCTCCTATTATCTATTGTTAATAATCCGTTGGAATTTTCCACGTGTTCAAATCTCAAAGAAAGATCTATTATTATCATTACTGAAGCTATTTCCTGTGTTTATGCACATGTCCTTTTTACATTATTTTGTTTTCACTTGAAACATCAGTAAAATGTATATTGGTGACCGACAGTGTAGGGAATCTTGTACGCCCTTTCTTTGAACAAAAGAAATCAACCGGAAACAAGTGTTTTCAGAAATATTTAGATTCTTATTTCTACTACTACGAATTTTAACATTAGGATTATTATTATTATCATACTTTGGAGTGTTGAGAATTCTGTGTATAATGTGTGTGCTGTTAGAAATGTGCTCTGGTATCATTGTTATATTGTTCCGTTGTCTTCATTTGTGTCACTGAATGTGATTCAGCCATATATATATATGGTTTACTATCACACCATGTTCTACCCCTACGTCTGTCTTGCTGTCGAACTCTGTGGTGTATATCTGTGGTTGCTTCTATACCTGATTCTATACTAGTTTCTTCTTAGGTATACTGATAAATTATATTATATCAAGGTTAGAAAAATTTGTTATTGTTGTTTTCTCTATTTCTTTCTTCTGAAAATTCTGTATTACATCGTATCATTTTCTTGTTTATCGCTTTGTGAGATTACATTTTTCATTTTTACAAGAAAATCGTATTTGTTATTTGTAGATGGGAAAAGAAAGAATGATGGAAAGTTTCAGGTGAAAAATAAGGCTCTCACATACATTCTCTTCATTAATGACTCACTGTACTCTAATTACGAGTTATATGCAGATATATTTATACACATTACTTGATAATATGTCTTTTTTATACAAAATGTCTTAATGTCCACAAATTGCATTTTATTTATTTGACTTTACTATACATATATATAGAAAAACAAGGAAATATTGTGTAAATTGTTGAAGGTTCTTTTCTTTTCTTTGAAATTTCCTGTCTGCATGTCTATTTTTTTTGGGCTTTTATTATGGAATAACATAATAACACAAGGGCTAATCATCAATCACTCGTACTAAAGGTAAAATTTGGTAACGTAATTTAAGTGTTTTAATTATAACGGACAAATGATGGTGAATTTTGTATCACTTCAACTTAAATTCTCTTTAGTTGATAGGCTAGATATTAATACTATGATTATATTTCTACTGCATTTGTCAGTAGCAATGTATTGACGTACCCAAGTTATGTATATATTTCACACCTGGTTCGGTTTGGGCACTCGGGCAGTATCACAGCCCTCACACATATCAAATGAGATCTATGTGGCGCATATGTATTTGGTGGCTCTTTGTACCAATATCTATGTGTTAAAATAAATAACAGATTAAGGATAGATTGAAAACGTCAATAGAGTGGTTTATCCAGATGACAAGTTTAGTTAATAAAGGAAATCACAATCATTTGCAGCACACATATTGGACTAAGTGTTGAAAATGCTCCTTCCCACTTTCCGAATTTATATGAACATATTTTTGGGTGAGACTATAATTTATGGACGAACCAATCACATATAAGATAACAGGTCTTGGATTTTGGCGCGAAATTCAATCATCTATTTGGTTAAGTAGAGTTTTGGCATTATAACTATCGTTAGTTCGTGATGAAAACCCCAAGTTCTAACCTCAACCATCAACTGTAAATCATAATTCTAATTTCTCACAGGTTTATAACCCTCATTTGGTAGCGGTTATTAGGTGGACACTCTCAAGGTCAGTCTAGCGTCACTCCAAGGTCATCCATAAATTATAGTCACACTCGATTTACAATATTTATTAGACGAAACGAAAATTTGCACATTAATTAAAAACTCCATTTCGCATTTGCAGAGAGTCATTCCAAAGTCACCTCCAGCACGTACTAAGTATTAATTTTTAGACATAACATGCAAACAGTAGACAAGCCCGAGATTTATACTACTTAGCACGGAATAATAATCTAGATTATTTCCTTGTACTTCCCTAGTCATCATTGTTTCTCCAGTTGACATCAAAATTTGTCATCTTAGTTCATTTAGATTTTATTGCGAAACTTGACAGTCAGCTCGTAAATTTATCTGATAATCTGCCTCAACTCTTTCTGAATGACAATTAACGTACTATTATTTAAATTTCGATACACTGAAAGAAAAATTGTACTTAAATCCAAACAAAGTAACTTGTTCTTACCAGTCTACTGATGATTTTTAATAGTAATGATGTCATCTAGTGTGAAGTACATTCATTACAAGAACTTATCTTTGATGATTTTAATCTTCAATCTCTTGTTTTTGTCTACGACAAAATTCTTAAAGAAATAAATGAAACTACTGAAAAACCCACAGATTTCTGCTTAATTACATCTGTCATTAGGCAATATGGTTTCGATATCCAGAAATTAACTGTCATATTCATTTTAATGGTCAGCAATATTTGTAACCTATTCGATCTTATCATTGGTTTATTTTTCTCTAATTTATCCATCATAACCAATGATAACAATAAGAAATCATAAAAATACTTGTGTTAAATGTTACATCTGAAAATATACTGACGCTCTTACTATAGATTACAATTTACAATTTCACAACTGTAAAACATTTGGTGTTAAGCTTCACTAATTCAATATATTAATATTTCATCACACAGTACTTGTCATTATACGATCTTATCTTTTGAAATTATTTACGTGCTATGACTAGATTCTAAATGTTCTTGTTGTTATTATTATTTTACGAAGCTGGATTCTTCAAAATATTCCAGTAAGGTAAAGATCCAACAGGAATAAATTTGGACTTGTTCAACATAGGATTCTCGTTTAGTGGATCAGAATTTAAGATTCCACACATCAGATCGATAGTCGTGGGTTAGAGTCGTTGATGCGCTCTGCTGAGGTGTCCAATAGTGTGACAAATGAAGTCTTGGGCAGGAGGAAATCAACATTATACGAAATTTCACACTGTATCCGTAAAATATGAAAACAATACAATAAATGTATCATTTGCACATCTTTCTTGAATTGTTTTTCACAAACTCCATCATTCTTCCATCACTGTTGTTACTCCGATTTTTCTGTTTTACTCCCTTTTTTACCAGTGAGAATCCTACCTCCAATCCCCTCTACATACTACTCATATAGGTCTGTTTAAGTAGTACACACCACAATACTAGGACGAAACAGCAGTCCAGTGCTTTTAGGTTTTCAACTGTTATCTAAATTAAACTGATTCATGTTTTCATAGAAATACTCTAACATAGTTTGAATTTTTTTCGCCGAGTTGTATTTCGTTTCCAGATGCCTGATGAGCTAAACGATTGTAGGGACATCATTTGACTCTGCTTACATACCATCCCACGGCCAAGCATTAGGTGAGAGATTAGAAAAAAAGCTTGATGGAAATCCGTCAGAGTCTTAGCCTACATGTCTTTGTGTAGATAGGAAGAAAATTCGTATACAAACGTATACTTTTTGTGTGTATTGTAGTTTGCTTTACCAATTAGACTTTCTTACTCATTTCATTCTTCGCGGCCCGGATAGCTCAGTGGTAGCGTCTCTGACTGTGAAGCTGGGTGACAAGGGGTCGAATCCTTCAGGGAGCATCAGTTCCCTCAAGATCACAGGTATACCTTGCTGACGTGCTAAGTAGCACGGAATCTAGGTCTAGAGTTTCTTGTTGACTACCTCCAACTAAAATCTATCTTTAAAACAAATAAAAAATTTTGGTTGAAACAATGTCACTATACACCTACACAAATATATATCTGTAAATAATCCTTTAAACATATAACTGGTAAATTTTCGATTTTTTTTCAAGCAAATTCACTTGTAATACAAAGTTCATAATTCCTGTTTTTAACAATTGTTCAAAGCTTTCCTATAATAAAAAAAAACAAAACATACCCTTTCAGTTTGTTTTTGTTCAAATTTCTGTATAATTGTATAAATAAGGTCATTGGGGGGGGCGAAAATTACAGAAAATCTAATAAAATAATTTTTAGCTTTAGTAAATTTGGATCTCAGGCTAATAGTATAATGTAGGACAAGGAGATAATACAAAAGCTTCACGAGTGTTAAACAAGTTATTGATCTTCGGGAATCAATGGATAAATGGTTGATATTTGGTGCGACAGTTTCTGTTTCTTATATCAATGTAAAAATCAACACTGAAGTGGTGGTGCATTCTTCTAATGAGTCCCAAATAAAATGAAACTCATGTCTTGAATTCTATTGTCAGTTACAACCCAAATTTACTAAAACCTATGACTAAATCATAGTATCTGAGCAACCATTTTAGGATACTATAAAATTTGAATTATAGTATGAACTAGGAATCCCAGAATTAACTGAAGTGAATCAAGAATTACGACACAAGCACGAACGAATGTATTGTATTTGGAATTTGAAATTGAGCATTCAGCAAGTACAAAAGAATCATTAGTTAATTCAAACACCACAGATACTCAGATGTGAATATAAACTGATAAGTTATGATCTTCTGTTTTAACAATTTAAAAATACAAACTTTTACCAATAATTTTTAGCTTATTTTTAATAAACGTTTACAGACGATGAATACATTACCTAGCACCCTGGCGGACCATTCGCACCATTCATATACCGATTTACATCACATATATAATTATTACGATGATTGATCGCGTCAGTCAATTATGCATAGCATGGACAGGCCAAAGTTCACCTATTCCGCTTACACGACAGTCAAACTCATTAATGTTATCAATGGTGATTTACCCTTCAATGGCCCTTGAAAACACTGAAAAGCAACCACCAGTCTGAATGAAATCGGTTAACCAGCAAACCGATTTTGCGTATGAACAGTCAGCAAAACTTGCCAAGTTAGTGCCGAACTATCCACAATATCAACAGTGAACCTCCAATCTCATATGAGACCTTCAGCTCTACGTAACAATATAACTTATACTGCATACAACATATATGGGTTGACATATAAAAATTTATTAATGAATTATAAATAAAAACTGATGTAAATAACTATCACATCGCTTCTAAAATACTATTTTTCTCATATTTATAAACTCATCTGCCGGAATATTATGAGTGATTTAAACAAACGTGGTCTACACAACAAATCCAAATTATATAAGAAATTGATCAGTTATCTCTTCAAGGCACAGTAAATAACATTGACTCACATTGTCATATCTACTGTTAACATAACAAAGATAAATTGAGAAATAAACGCATTTATTTTGTCAGAATATGCAGAAGAAATGTGATCCATTATACACAAGTTGAACGAAAATATTGATTCTGAAGTTTACATCCCCAATTCAAAGTATCGATGAAAAACTGTTACGATTAAATCAGTGTAAGTTGAAGTAAGATACCAGCCAACAATCTGATTACTTAGTAAAATTGATTATAAATGAAAATATAAATCACTGAGTGTTTGTACACATCAATTTAAAATTTATGATTTTTTGTAAGCGAGGCTAGATGATCTTTAGTTCGACTGTGAGTGTGTAATTGATAAATCTTCTAATTGAACTCTTTATACGATTTTCTAAGCTCTTCTAGTAACCCTCAGGCTAACTGTAAACAGGAACTTGAACACGAGAGAAAAAGGTATGAAATATGGGAAGAACGCTTTACTCCAAAGTTAGTTTATGTACAGACATTATAAGATATTTATAACATTTCAGATAGTCTTGAGCTTCTCGAAAGACCATGAACCTTATTAAACACTTGACTTTTCACTTTCTAGGTGTTTCTGAAAAACGTCTAAAGAATGCTGATTGAATAAAATGGTTCCTAGCGTTTTCAGGGCCCCTTCTGGTTTTTTTCGAGGAATTTCCTGGTTCTCCCCAACAGTAATCATTATAGAATCCTAAGTTTCTACTATAAAACTATTCATACATCCTAAATATATTCATATATCTTTTTTTCACAATTCTCTGACTGTTATGATTTTATGTCCGGCTTTTTATCATGTGATTTATCCACCAATCAAAATACGACTTATCCAATCTTAACACTATGCCAACCAATGACGTCCAACCGGTGTAGGCAGTCTAGCGTCCTTGTTGGTCCTAGGTCCTTCTGACCCGTGCGCTTGAGTCCAGAACACAGTACCAGTTTCCACAATATGAATTATGTATTTCAAACATACTCTGTTTATACACCAATTAGACAGACCACAACGTACCATAAAATAGAAAATAACATATGTACACAAATAAGCCAAAAAGTGGCTGTGAACGAGGGAGATAGTAATTAATAGACTGAACATAGATTAATAACCGTAAATCGTATAGTAATAAATTATAGGTCAAAATAAAGCTTATAATAAGAGAAATATAAATATACATAATGTAATTATTGAATAATTATACAATAAGAATATTTATAGAGTATTAGTCTATAAACAGTCCTTGGAAGTTACCTGTAATTTAATCTTCACTGGGATAGAACACTAACTAATATCGAAATAAATTTTACAAGTAAATTTCAAGTGAAAATCTGTTAAAGTTCATCTTTCATTTATATCCATTTTTTTAGTTTTAATCTTATTTCACTAATTTATTGTGATATCGTCTGATAAGGATCTTTGTCAAATATAAATATAAACTAAATTTGAGGATAAATTGAATTTACTTCCCAATAATTGTGCTATAAATCTTGTTCATTTATAGGGATTACATTAGGGAGAAACACGTGAGAAATCGGTTATTTTTATTAATATTATTATGATTAATGTCGTAAACAATACTGTGTCATAGTCGCCATGCTCTCTGTTATCTTCATTATTGTCAGAATGGGTTTTGTGGAGATTTTAGAAATTTCACAGATTGAAATCATGAGTCAGTTGAAGCTAGACGAAATACTGGAATTATATATACAGAATGCGATTGTAACTACAATTTTCCTTTTATCTTCAGATTTCGACATACTCTGGAAAAACTCCCGAAGTTTTAGTGAGAAGCCGTTACTAGTGGAGTTCAACCAGGTCTGTTGTGAGATATCAGCTCACTGAAGACAATGGTGTATGATGGCGCAACTTCGTGAATTGGTTGAAGTTAGACATTAACACCGTTGGATGCCGGCTCAGTGGTCTAGTGGTTAAGTGCTCGCGCGCGAAGCCAGTGAGTCCTGGGTTCGAGCCCCGCGTGGTGCGGGATCGTGGATGCGCACTGCTGAGGAGTCCCATACTAGGACGAGTTGGCCGTCCAGTGCTTCCAGGTTTCCAATGGTGGTCTAGTTTCAACTGACTCATGATTTCAATCTGTGAAATCTTCATTATTAAAATTTCATTTGGTTATCAGACTCTTATGTAATAGATTGATTTATTGATATTAGTATCATTATTGTTAATTTCATTATGAATAAATTACTTTATTGTTAGTCTTTGAATTTATTAACCCGTCAGATTTTTATTTACAGACTTCCTCCCTCTGAACAGAGAACAAACTGCACACACACACATACACTGAACTTGTATGAATGTGACGAGTATCAATATATCAATACATCAGTACGAACCATCTAACAAACAACTTGATTTTCGTGCAAAGTTAGTCATATTAAATTATATTTAAATTATGACATGATGGATTTCAGTGAAAAATGTACAACAGAGAATATGTAGTAAGTCGTCTTCA